AAAAAAAAAAAAAAAAAAAAAAAGAAGATGCAAACATTGGTCTATAATGAAGTAAAAAGTAGAAACTTAAAAAAGAAATCTACTTGAAGAACAAAATTTGCTAATGCAGAGGTGATTTCCAAAGCAGATCTTTTGTTTTTTCTCTCAAACTGTTTAAAAAAAAATTTTTTTTTTTTTGAGACAAGATCTCACTGTGTAGCCTAGGCGGGCCTCAAACTCAGAGATCTTCCTGGCTCAGCCTCCCAAGTGCTGGGATTATGGGAGTACACCACCACACCCAGCATCAAACTGTGTATTTTAAAGTTCCAAAAAATCTTGGATTAATTTAGATCAGGTCAGTCATAAAGAAACACTGTCACTTATATATGTACATAAGAACTAACCACAATTTAGGCACATTGCTAGTGTGTCAGGCAAAAAGTTTCAGTGTCTTTCAGTCAGACTGTTTCAGTGGTCTGAGGATTTTTTTTTTTTTTTTTTTTTTTTTTTTTTTTTGTACCAGGAATTGAACTCACGACCTTGCACTTGCCAGGCAGGCACTGTGCCACTGAGCTATATCCTCAGCCCCTGGTCTGAGGATATTAAGATTCTCTTTTCCTTGTGTAAATTTTCATTTCCAAACACAAAGATTGTATTACTTGTATTTTCATACTGTTTTACAGTCTGTTTCAGGACGTTTCCCTGTTGCAGACAGCTAACCAGAACAGTTAGTGCACATGTCAAAGTCAGGTTGCACTCAAACTTGGTTAAATCCTAAAACGAAAGTTGACACTTTGAGAGGTCTCTAGCTTCTAATGCATTCATGTTAGTGAGATCAGTTAAATTCTTCAACTTTCTGTAAACGGCTATCTAGACATACCTAAAAATCCAGGGTCCACAACGTGTACGGTGAGACTCGGGAGCACAGACACAGACCGCATGTGGACGTCTTTCATTTTTCTTAAGGAAATCACGTGAGCCAGAGCTGGGTGAAAATGGAAAGGTGAGCTGCCGAAGAAAAGAGTAACAAACGTGCAGACAGGAGCCAACAAAAATTCTGTCTTGAATTTCCTTTGGAAAGTGAAAATTGATCTTTTATTTTTATTTTTAATATCTTTTTGAGACAGGGTCTCACTATGCAGTTCAGGCTGACCTTGAACTCACTCTGTAGCCCAGGCTGGGCTTGAATTTACAGTGATCCTCCTGCTTCAGCCTCCTGAGTGCTGGGATTACAGGCGTGCGCCTCCACGCCCGGTGCTGGAAAGGGAACATTTAAGTACGTACACCTCTAAGAAAAGTCTGAGGGACACTTAGTCATTGCAGGAGTCAGGTATTCTTAAATTTCAGTTTTGAGGAAGATGGAATAGGAGAAAGATGATTATAGTCTGTGTTCTAAAAAATCATTTAAACCAGGCATAGTGGCGCACGCCTGTAATCCCAGCACTCAGGAGGCTGAGGCAGGAGGATAGTTGTGAGTTCAAGACCAGCCTGGGCTACAAAGTGAGCTCAAGGTCACCCTGAACTGCATAGCGAGACCCTGTCTCAAAAATTAAAAAAAAAAAAAATCATTTAGCTGCAAAGCTCTATCTCTAAATAAATTCTTACACAGGAGCCCAGCATGGATCACAGGGCAAAGCAGGGGCACTGGGGAGCAGGGTGCCTTCTGGCCTGGCGATGGAGGCGGAGGGGTGTGGCCTGCCACCCAGCAACGTGCCTGGAGCTCCACTGATGGTTCTGAAATTGCAAGTTGATTTCCTATTATCTATAGCAAATATTTAATTCCAAAACTTGTTTTTGTTTTTTGAGACAGGGTCTCACTGTATAGTTTAGACTGGCCTCACATTCACACTAGTCCTCCTGCCTCAGCCTCCCAAGTGAGTGCTGAGATTACCACCATGCATCACCACTCTTGGATCAAGATGTTTTCTGTTTGGCATCAAAAATACTTTGAGGTCACTTACATTTCATACTACTCACTATCCCCTTCAGTTAAGTTCTAGCAGAAGTATGAATCTATTTAAATATCAGTTTATATATAATCTAGTTAAGAATATGCCTCCCGGGCTGGGGATTTAGCTCAGCGGCAAAGCGCCTGCCTGGCAAGCGCAAGGTCATGAGTTCGGTTCCTGGTACCGGAGAAAAACCAAAAAAAAAAAAAAAAAAAAAGAATATGCCTCCCTCTCATAATATATCTAAAAGCTAAGAAAAATTATTTTTGCTCTATTTTTCTCATATAAAAATATGAGAAATATGTAACTGAAAGCTGGGGGTGGTGGCACACACCTGTAATTCCAGCACTCAGGAGGTGGGAGGATCACTGTGAGCTCAAGGGTAGCCTGGACTACACAGGAGACCCACCTAAAAAAAAGAAATTCTGTTTAGGTCTTTTCAAACTTGTACCTTGTTTTTCTTCTTCAAAACCATGCTGGGTTTTTGTTGTTTTGCCTGTGGTAGTGGGGATTGAACCCAGGGAATGCTAAGCTACATTCCTAAACTTTTTTTTTCTAGTAGTGGGGACTCAACACAGAGTCTTCATCCTGAGCTACATATCTTGCCTTTTTCTTTTTCATTTTGAGACAAGGTCTCATTAAAGCAGTAAATTGCCCAGCCTAGGCTAAACTTATGATCCTTCTATCTCAGCATTCCAGAGTACTAGGATTTCAGGCTTGTGCCACCATGCCTGGCCTAAAGCTACACTATTTTTACTAACAAAATGGCCCAGAGGTGGGTGTGGTGGTGTATACCTCTAATCCTAGCACTCAGGAGGCTGAGGCAGGAGGAGTGCCAGGAGTTTGAGGCCAGCCTGGACTACTCAGTGAGTGCAAACCCAGCCTGAACTACATAGTGAGACCCTGTCTCAAAAAAACAAAACAAAACAAAAAAATAAAAAAGGCCCATTGCATCACATTCTACTTACTACAGCATTTCAGTCTTGGCCTTACTTCACATTCCTATCAGATTTTACCTGCTCATTTCTGTAAATTCCTCACTTGGTTACCATGAAACTCCTCTTCCTGATTTTCTTTTTCCTTTCCTTTCTTCTTTTCTTGTTTTCTTTTTTCTCTTCTTTTCTTTT